TAAAAGTAGACTCAGACCTCAAACTTGACAGCCAGATAAAAGCTGTAGTGAAATCTAGCTTTTTCCAGTTAAGGCAGCTGGCTAAGATCAAACCAGTCCTTCAGAGACAGCACTTTGAGACAGTAATCCACGCCTTTGTGACCACTCGGCTGGATTACTGTAATGCACTTTATGTGGGGGTTCGTGGGTCTTCAATTGCCCATCTTCAACTGGTACAAAACGCTGCTGAACGTCTTTTAACTGACACACGAAAGTATGAAGACATTTCACCAGCTTTAGCTTCCCTCCACTGGCTGCCCATCCACTTTAGGATTCATTTTAAAATTCTTTTATTTACTTTTAAAGCCTTGAATGGCCTTGCCCCACTTTACCTCTCTGAGCTGCTCCTGACCCTAAAGCCAGGCTTCAGCTCAGAGGGGAGCGAGCGTTTTCCGTTCAGCTCCAAAACTTTGGGATGGATTGCCACTGCACATGAGACAGACCACCTCTCTCTCATTTTAAAACTCTTCTTAAGACCCACCTCTTTTTGTTGGCTTTTGACACCATGTATAGCGTTGATTTTATGTATATACGTGCTTTTTTTTTATCCTGTGCGGGCAATGCTTTTATTTATTTTTATCTATTTTCTATTTATTCTGTATGTCTTTTTGTGCAGCACTTTGGAAACCTTGTGTTTGTTGAAATTGGATCTGTTCAGCCACACCTGCCCAGACAGCCTAGCAGCCCCCAGACACAGGGCAGATGTTACAGATGTGTCTGAGGCTGACTGCTGCTCTCTGATGTTTCAGGACTTTCTGCAGCTGGAGGACAGAAGGAGGAGCTGAGAGTTGTTGGAGAAAACATCACTCTGCCAGACTCCATCCTGGAGAATGGGTTTCTGTCAATAAATGGAAGAATCATAGCTTTAGTAAGAAAAGGAGAATTTGGGATAGAAGACCACTCCTATGTGGACAGAGTCCACTGGAACAAACAAACTGGACTCTTTACCATCACAGACCTGCAGATCAGCGACTCAGGAGATTACAACATCAACTTTAACATGGAGCCTGTTTACAGTTTCTCTCTCTGGCTCCGAGTGTTTGGTGAGTGTCTAAATAGACAGCGGCCTTCTGGGAACCAGCCGTTCCAGCCCGGACGGTTCTAGTCCGACCCGTCCGTCTCTCTTCAGGAGCCTCTCCGACGTTTGCTCTCCGCTTTAAACTCTGCTGCTTCTGCCTTTGGTCTTCCTCTTCTTTCTGCCTCCAGCACTCAGCTGTGACCTCTGACCTCAGCCCCCCAAACAGTGAGCCTCCATAAGGAGAAGCTCCTCTTTTCCGCTCAGTGTTTGGTGAGTAGAGCTGCCACTAACCTTCTAGCCTTCCAGCCTTGTAACCTTCTAGCGACTACCATATTTTCCGCACTATAAGGC